AGCAGTACCTCCTCAGATATATCTCCCCTCTGACCTGCCATGGCCTTAACATAAGATTCTCAAAACTGGGATTCCTTCTGGCTTGAGGCAAGAAGCTTAGCTGGGGCTTGAAAAGAGAGTTGTCACAAATTCAGAAGACCACTGATAAACATAAATGTTCAGGGAAGAAAATGAATGGGTTTTAAAAAAATGTACAATTATGAAATTTTGGATATGAAAAAATAAATGTTTTACTTTTTCCTTCAGCTCTGCTTCATTTGTTCTCAAATTAGCTGCTTGCCTCTTGTTCATCTCACGAGACAACAAGAGCCTAGGCCATTGGATGGGGTTGGGCTAAAAGAAGGACCAGGAGTTGTATAGGACAAGGCATGCTGTGGAGGGAGGTCTGCTGATACTTAGCTTGGCGCTAAAACTGGTGGTGACATTACAAGTGAAGAGGGACAAAACGGTGAAAGGAGAACAAGAACAAAGAGGTGCTTCGAAAATTTTGCTACCCAACTTCTCATGCATGGCCATTGGCCTGGATAACAATGAAGATGCTGTGACCACTCTCCAGGGCTGGCTCCAGAAGGAAGAGGAGAGGCCAAGTAGCTAGTCTTTGCTAATGGATTACTTAGAGCAACACATTCTCACCACTGAATAATTTGTTTTTCTTGTAATTTCACCACGAAAAAGTTCACTTTCTCTTGAGACCCCTACTAAAATCACATTTTCCTAGGAGTCAAGTACTTACCTTGAAATGTTACTTTGGCTTCATTTTATATAAAAGTTAGAATAAAGAGTGCTGAATAAAAATTGATTTTTAAATTAATATTCTTAGTGTCTGACTCTGTAATTTCTCAGAATTATTTCAATAAAATTTGAAAAGCTGAAAATATACATTTTAAAATTTATCAGTGGACATAAAATAGTCCTAAATGTCTTCCACAAAATGGCGCAGAAAAAAATTAATTATGTAAATGTCACTTACTAGTCTGATAATAAATTGAAAATCACGATTTCATCATTTCATCTCAATGTAGACTAAATCTCTCAACTCAGATAAAAGCTCCAGAATTTAATGCTGTATTTATCTGGTTTTCATAACTTTTATGAAATATTTCTGTACCAGTGTTAACCTTCTTTGTTACAGTACCTGCTCTTAAAAACAACATTAAAAACCTTTTATATCATGATTATCTTTGGTTATATAAACCTATTGGAAAAAATGTTTTGATCATTAGGTACTGCACCAGAGGGCTTAATTCAATCCTTAACTGCAGAGATTGGACATTAACTATGAGTGAATACACAACTCATCTAATCAACAACAACAAGATTTTTCATACAATAGAGAGGGCAGTGTAAATGTGATTATAGAATTCTCAATATAGCTTTTACTTAAAAACTACATAATGCACATCCTTTACAGCAGTGTGTAATCACATTGGATTTGATAAGAAATTTCTTCATGAAGACACAGTACAATCAGGCATAAAGAATTTCAAGATATAAGATAATTGTTAAACACCTGACATAATGTTACACACATGAAATATAATAATTCTAGAAATACATTTCATGAAAAACATAAAAGACATTTAACTCCAAAGATTACAAAGAAAACTCAAGAGAATAAAAATACGTGGCAAGTGGAGGGGGTTGGTGCACCCTCGTTAGTAGCAGTAGTTGTGTAGAAAACAATTCCCTTTGAACTTTGGGAAATAATAGTGTTTTCATGCCTTTGTACTTTAGTTTTTCTGGTACGTAAGGTAATAGAGTAGACTTTTACAATATTTTCTCTATATATTGTCTCTAAAAAATCTATTTTTTGCTTCATGCAGTTTGAAAACTAATTGAATAAAACTTAGTGGAATTTACTTTTTTTGACTTGTAACTTGTAGAAAGTAGAAAAGGCATTTGTTGTAAAACTGACACTGAAAAGCTGTCTAAATTGTAATGACTAGCGAAATTTTTTTTGAAATGCAGTTGATGGCTATTGCAATTTACATCAAGTGCATTCTATTATTACACTAGTATTAAAATAATAGCCCTCCTCACAAATTGGGTCCATAAACAGTTTTGGGGTTTTTTGCCATTCTGATATTTCAGGTTTAAGCGTAGCCAGACTAAATGTTAGAAACATATTTACCTTAATCTTCATTAAAACAATGTGTCTTGGGAGTGAAATTCAATATCATTTTGTCTGCTACTTGCAATTAACTCATCAATAATTTATAACAGGTGTTTAATATCCTATAAATTCTCCAAGCTTTGGAAATTCAGAAGTAAATTTCCTCACAAACTGGGAGTAATCTTTAGCCAACAATAAACAAATTCAAGTATGAAGATTTTTGTGGTTTTATAGAAATTCAGAAATAACAAAGTTAAAATGGATTCAATGTTAGATAAATTTATATCATCCCTATTGATAAAAGCTCAATGACATTGACAACTTACATTAAATCTTTGAAATATAGCAAAAAAAAGAGAGATACATATTCAAGGTATAGCATAAAACAGTCCCAACACATTCCTTTCAAAAGATGTCTTTGCATTTGTGTCATTAGCAAATAATGAGGTAAACAGTTGACTCTTTGTTTCATAAGATTGGCAGGGTTTGGGAACACCTGTTTCTTCACCATTTGTCCTATTAAGGTAACCATACTAAATCCAGACCTCTTAGAAAGATTCCTGGATTCACATGTTGAGTGCTATGTACATGGTCTATTACATTCCCAGAGTTTAAGTACTGGTTTATTTCATTTTATATCTCTTTCCATGAAATTACCATTCTTAGAAACTATCTGCCTCTGCAAAACAAACTTTAGTAAGTATAAATAAGATAGGGATTTTAAAGTTTTACTTAAAATCTCAAGTCATCCAGGTGGACATAAAGCACACAAGTGCCTTAAAACCAGTCTTTCACACTGCACTTATCAATAGCGATTGTTTTGTAAACTGCATTTTTTTAATAAGATGACATGAGTGAGAGTCAACATTGATACTCAGCTTCTTCTTTCAGACATCCAGCCACACTGACTGTAGCGATGATGGTGGCCCCTGTTGTAGACACCTGTGCAGTAAAAGACTTTATTTCACACAGGCTGATAAATTTATGTCAGATGGTATCACTTAAAGCAGTGGGATCTCAAATCTTAAAGTGCTTCAGAATCACCTGTAGGGCTTAACACACAGCTTCTGGGCTATCACTCCTAAAGTTTCTGGTTAAGTAGGTGTGGGATAGGGTGGAAATTAGCATGTCCAGTAAGTTCCCAGATGATGCTGATGCTGACGGTATAGAAACCACATTTTGAGAATCACTGATTTAGAGCAAAGGAATTCTGACTTCCCATCCATCACATAACTGCTGCTCTCAGAGTCAGTTTTTTCCTTTCTCTCCCCCTTTCCCTCCCAATCTCTCTCCCTTTTCTCTCTTTTAAATTATAAATAGGTATATTTGGGTCTAAGGAATTTACTCTTCCTCTGAGCTATTACTTGACTATTAAGGCATATTATCAACGTTATTTGAAGTCATCCTCAAACTTTTTAAAGTGCTATCATCACAATCCAAAAATTACAACTCTCCTTTCATGCAGCATAAATAAGAAAAGAAGTTCTGAAATATACAAAGGGGAGAAAGGAGAGAGTTAAAATACTTTGCTTTCACTGATATAGTGCTTATATTTTACAACATGATCTCAATAAACCTTGTATAAGAAGATAGTTTTTGCTTTGAGTCATAAAAGGCACGAGGTAACAGAATCCCAAATTCCAAGATTTGAAAACAAATTGTGGATAATTAGGCTGTATTACTTTTCTCTGAGAGTAATGGAAAATGAACAAAATAACAAAAATTAATTTTCCATGAAAGTTTTTCTTAAACACTGTGCCCCATATCTTTGTTTCAATACAATCAGAACACCTGTTACCATAATATGAGATGAAAATCATCTTTCATAAACACTTACTTTTAATTTTCAAGTAAATATTTGAATCAGAAGAATTTTTCAGGGGAATAAGTTTGAATATTCAGTGCTTTGACCCCTAAATCTTACATTTTCTACAAAATATACGATAGTCTATTCATTTATGTGTGAGTTAAGAGCAAGCCCCTCTGTTTTTTAACCACCTGGTACTCAGCTCCAGGCCCAAATGGAATCCACTGACATCAACTGTCATTGTAAGTAAATTGAAAAAAAAAAAAATGCCACTGTGCTACAAACTTTCTGGTGAAGACCACTGTCCTTGGTAGCTTCACTGCTCTGCCATGACCAAGAATTGTCCCCCAGATTGTTTGCTGCCTTGCACTCTGTCAACATGTCTCCCTCACTAGACTGAAGCTCTTTTGTAGGCATGTTTGCATTGACCCCACCTCATTCCCTAGCACCTAGCACAGTGGTGCATTTTTTATTTAATCCAGCAAGACTGACAGTGTCATTTTTTTTGTTTTTGTTGTTAAAAGAACATAATGATGTGATTTAGCTTATTCTTAAATGTTAAAGTCTTTCAACAGAGATGGAAATTATGTTAAAACTTTTACTGTAATAGAGTCTTACTGGCCATATATTGAGACAAGAAATGTTAGTAATGGTCAATTTGCAAACCTGAGAAAATTGTGTAAATGAGTGAGTATATAGTTTTGTAAGACAGTTTTGAATTACCTAACACAATATGCTATTTTATATATAAATATTTTCTCAGATATCACATTATAACAACAGTCTTGAGATTTTTTCAGAAAAAAAACTATTAAGTCAACTATCATGTCTATTGTTAATTCAGAATTAGTAATTGCTACTTCTTTTAGTAGCAAAAAAAATCATTGGATAGATTCTCATAATTTTAGGAACCAATTTGAATGTGAGAGATTAAAATAACAAGGGATTATAAAAAGAATTAGAAATGTTTAAACAGTTAATTAACACACATTATAATACATGAAACTAAAAGTGAAATAGCCTGAAATAAGTTCAGTTGAAAGTTAAACTTCTAACATATTTAAATCAAAAGTTGAGAAATCATTTTAAACTGACTTTTTTTTTATTTCCAAAGAGCAATAGATTAAAAAAAAAAAAAAAAGATCCACAAGTAATTTTAGCTTCACATCAATAGGATAATAGAATTTTTGTTCCCAGTGATTTTAAAAAGGATAGTTTTACTCAGGTATCCTTGTCATATGAACCAATATTCTACCAGTTTTGAAGTGGTCCTGCTCCATTGGCTGCTGGAAGTGTGCTTATGCTAGTGAGCACGACTTGCTCGGAAAGTTTTGATATGTTATCAAAGTTGCTGATCTGAGTGGTCAAGGACTTCCGGCTCTCTGTGCTAGTTCGTCCCCTGGTGAGCCGATCCTCCTGGCGATGGTGAACTCCAAGGCAACAGCAAGAAAATGCAGCTTTAAATTCCTCTCGAAATTTTCCTGGCAAACAGAGAGAATGAAAGGAAAAGGAATTATGCATAAATGCTTCAACAAGTTGTGAATAGGGTACAACTGAGTTGCTCCCTTGAGCCAAACTAACAATGAGGTGTAATATTTTGCAAAGACGGGGAAAATAGAAAAAGGAAATTGAGTTTATTGGAAGCTTGGTAGACTCTTGAAACAATGAAGTATTTTCATAAAATAATGAGGCTGCCTTTCATGTATGGTGCTTGGAATTTATTTCATTCCTTTATAGTCAAACCTCACATATTTACACATATTGGTATATTTTATCTAAATAACTATAACGGAAGTGGTCATCAGTAGAAGAATGCTCAGAGATATTTAATAATTAAACACAGTGAAACTTATGTCATACAAAGCCAAAATTATACAAAAATTACTCCTGCATTTTACTCTAAATAACTGATATTGAAACAATTAAATCCACAAAATACTTAGAAAATATCACTCAAATATCCAGAAAATTTCCAGTTTCATAATCTATGTAAGAAAGAACAAAGACTGAAGGGGGAAAACTACTGTAGAAGGTATTCCTTGTCTTTAAATTATGGAGACATTGGAGAACTATGTAAATGAATCAGTCACTTTTATTAGTGTGAATGGCAGTATTGGGAATCATTTCTTCTCTCTTAGCCTCAGCTACCCACTGAGTTATTAGTGATTAAATGAGAAGATGAATATTCACGAGCCCAGCACAATAGCAGTCACATAATGAGTTATCAGTGATTATCAGTTGCCTCCTCTAACTCACTTTTATCCTTCATACTAGGACTTTGACCTGGTTCTGTGACTTCTGCTTCAAACACTTCTCATTACAACTTCCTTATAGCCTTTACCTACTTAGTGCGAGGTTCAGAGCTTTAGTCATTGTGCTAGATTTTTTTAAAAAAATAGAACAAAATTGTTCTCAACAATCTAATTGGTTGCCTTTTTTTCAACCTATGCAACCAGAAGGCCAAAGATCAAGTTGAAAGATGCACATGCTTTATTAAACATGCCACAAAATGAATTTCTGTTCTTCCATATAAAATCATCATGCAGTTGAAGATAGAAATAACAAAGAAATCGCCAATGAGTTGGAGAGTAAGGCAATGTAAAAATGTAGCTAATTAAAACATAATTCTAAAAGTCAGTCAGGCAAAATGTGAATAAACAATAGTGATTTAAATGATTTTTATAATTATATTGATTCCATAAACAGATATAAATTGTATAAGTTACACATATATCTATGTGTGTATCATTTAACTTATGTGTTATTTTGGAGTACTACTACTTTTGGTAGTCAGTGGGAAATATTGAGATAAATCCGAGAGGTGATACACACAAGAGAAACGTTAATATAGCAAAATATCTAAAAGTGAATAGATCCCAATTCTGTCTCAATTAGGGTACACATTTTGGCAAAGGAATAATATAGCAAGGCAAAACAGAACGAAGTATTTTATATTTTTGTAAATCAAGAGTTTAAAGTATGTCATGTAAGATTTTGTGTTATTGATTTCTCAGAATGTTTACTTTTCTATTATAACATTTCTTATAAGTTTTACATGGAAAAAAATCACTTAGTTCTTTTTCTCTGATGAGTCCAGTAACAAATATTTTGCCTCAAAAAAGAAGAAACTCAAGACAAATCAGGTCAGGGAAAAAGAAAAATCTCACATAGCAACTAAACTCTTCATGTAATTGAAGAGTGTTCATTGATTCCTCATCCTTGGTTAGAACTGTGGCTTATGGAAGAAAAGTTGAAAACTCACCACTGAGAAAATTATAAATAATTGGATTCGCAGCACTATTGGCATATACAAGCCAGTGTGAAAAGGTAAACCAGGCATACACAGTCTCTCTGTCCTCGGTGTGGGTAAACATCCCAAATACTCTGCAGGAAAAGAAACAACAGAAAAGTATCTTTTAAATAATTAAATTCAAAGGTGAACGAGGCTATTGGTAGAGGTTGGTCTGACCCCTGTCCTCCTTGGTTGCAGGAATTGACCACAGATTGGTTTCTGACCCTATAATTGGTTTAGAATAACTTCAGTGCCTGAACAGAACCTCCAGAGCACAATCAATAAATCAAAAGCCAAACCAGGTCAGAGAAGGGTCTCTCCCTTTCACAAATAGCAGATGCAGTATTTCTTGTAAATAAGAACACAGAAGTTGAATATGTCTTCTTTATTTCATTTTCTTTCTAAATACAATTGAATAAGGTTGTATTAATATTCCATTATGTGTATCATTTAAAAATCACTCCTAAATGATAGTCTTCAAGTACTTTTTCCTACTTTCATTTATGTATTGATCAAAGTATCATATGCCTTCAACTCCAGTCTTCCTGGACTATCTGAAACTTGCCTTCTGGGACTCCTTAATACCCAGAGTAGAAACAGTTCTCAATGGGCAGAATTTTGGTAATTTTTAAAAATTAATGAGTGTTAATTTTTCATGTATTATTTTAAACTTTAAAAAATGTTTTATTATGCTATCCTTAAAGACGATTTAAAAATTTCCTCCATACTTAGAAATATTCCATCTATTAAATTCTAATCGCTAACCTACAACAGATAACTTACAGCTACTCCATAAGATTATAGGTCAAAAATCATATATATTTCCTGCTAAAGTCTCCATCTTTGTCTGTATCTGTGTGTGTGTGTGTGTGTGTGTGTGTGTGTGTGTGTGTGTGTGTTTTACAACAAGAAGGCATGATAACAATGCATTTCTGGTATAAGGTTATTCTCTAAAAAGTACTAGAGTTTTACAAAAATATTGCATAGAGTGAAACAATATGGACAACAGAAATTTGTACTATGTTATGACCCTTTACCTCAAAATGTCTTTGAAATCTTGGACAAATCTGAACTGTTGTAAAGAAATTGGTTTTGACTAATCTGGCAAAAAGTTAAGTTTTAAGGAGAAGAAGCTAAGAATGGTTTTTGTGGGAGAAAGAAAAAACAAATTTCATATGCAAGGACAAACAAATACATAAGCATTTGAAAAAAAATGTGTGTGGTAACAAGAAAAACAATCTTCAAGTTCTTGTTTTCAAAAGTTTTTATGTTGTGGAAAAGAGTAGAATGCCCAAAAACTTGAAATATTTTGAATTTAACATGGCCTTGCTCCTTTGACAGTTATTTGTTTTCCTTAGAAAGGAAGGGATTTGAGTCGGAAGAATAAGACAAATATTATTGACAAAAAAGTATTTGGAAATAAAAGGAAAGAGCAAGTTCTGAGATACAGGAAATCCAAATACGGAACCCAGAGAGAGGCAAATCCAATTTTCATTGAATTTAGACTGAAAGAAGATTAAAAAGAGAAAGAATAAAACCCATCTAGTAACATGTTTATGAAGTTCTTAAAAGCAGAAGACAGTATCTAGAGGTGGCCATAATAAATGTATATGAAATTTCTGTTAGCAAAAAAATGATAATAACAATAAGAGGCGAAGCACAAAAAGATATGGAGGGCAAAATAATTTCTATTTTGTGAGCTGGCATATGTCTGAAGGACCCAGGCCACAAAAAAATCATATATCTTTAAGGCTGTGACTGTAGTAAGTAGTATTACTGAACAAACGTTTGTTCTCCATTTCTTCTCCATCGAAAAAGCCATTAAACAATCAAAAACAGGGGCCAAAGAGAATGAGAACCCACTGCAGCTGGTTATACCACCTTTCTTCTGACTCCAGCCAAAGCTGCTGCTCTTCAGAGTTCCCAGCTGTGAGGAATATGATATTGATTCTGAATCAGGGAAAAGTGAGAGGAGCAATTCTAGCTTAAGTTCGAAGCCTGTTGTAAACAGAATTGGTATTGCCTTGGGACCAGTCTATGTGGAACAGTTTTGATAATTCCCAATAAAGTTAGCTGGCCATGAAGTTTAGTGTGTACCGCTGCCTCTGCATCTGCTGTTCATGTCATGGGTCAATATTTTTAACTTAATACTTGTGCCTGCAGTGTAACAAATAACACACTTTCCCTCACTGATTTTTATTAATATTTGTCCTGAGCTTGATTCAGTGACTTCAGGAAATGAATTCTTCTGTTTAGACATTTGACATACATATCTGCCTTGATTGCCTTTTTTTTAAAGTGCTCACCAATGCACTTTTAAGTATAATTAGAAAACTAACATAAGATTCTTATCTCTTTTTATCCTTAAGAGATAATGCTCCCACAATTGCCTATGTTTTTGAAAACGAAGTTTTGAAAAACCCATTTGTTCTCATCAAGAAAGAACTGCAAGCTGTAAATTAGTTGTTACGCATTAGAACTTTGTCTGCATCTAAGGTTTAGCAACTAGCTTGAAAAGATTGGAGAAACATCTGTTTTATGTCTGCCGTGCAACTGAGAATACGCATGGACAAAAGCACATGTCTGAGCACTCTTAAAGGCTGTTCGCCTTACCTGCTGGTAACAACATAACTGAGTCATCTGGCCTGACAAGGTATCTAGGCAGAAAGTTTAGGTTTTTCTCTGGCTAGTAAAAAAAAAATGTTAATTAAGAATCAAGAAATGGCAGGCTATTTCATTTTCAAATAACAGGTAAGTTTTACCTCTTTAGCACATTGAGGATGCTAATTGGTAGATAGCAAATTGCAAATACCAAAAGCACAACCATCAACATCCGGGCTGTTTTCCTTCTGGCTCGGATCTGCTTTATTTCAGCCGCCACAGCGCTTATCCGGGACTTTGTCGGCTGTCCTGGCCCTCGAGGCTGTGAAACAGGCTGCAGGGGCTTCCATTTTCTCTGAACTACAGACGATGTTCCAGGAATCTGAAAGGAGAGGAGACAGACCCTTATTGCAATTTGACTTAGGATAACTTCCACTTTGGGGAAATAATTAGAAAACACAGTCCGGAAAGGCTTCCAGACGCCTGAGGTGTGGGAGGTTTGAGCGCCTGTTTCTCCGGAACATTTGCTGAGCTTAGTATGTGCTTGGCATTAATTCAGTCGAATGCCAAATAGGAGTTTGGGTGGGAAAAAAAGTTAAAACATCAAAATTTTGTCGATGTTTAAAAGAAAGCTGCAAGTGGAAAAGATATTTCCTTGTAAAAAGAACAAAGCCTGGGAAAGGAGAATGATAAAGGGATGACAGCCATATTATCTTGTTAGGAATTTTTGTTCAGCTCAGATACCAAAGTTTAAAGCAAAGGAAAAACCCAGCAAGTAACGTCAAGCAACCTGTATGGATTTTTCACGCATCAATACTGCCATCTGCTGCCAGACAGAGAGATAGGACTTAACTACCTGTAACTTTTTAGGTTTTCTGCTTCTCAAGTTCGGACAAAGCAAACTTTTTGAATGAAAGGATATTTTTAAAAATCAAGTATTTTTTGTTGTTCGCTATTTGTAGTTATGAAATTGTTTGAAATCAATTTTGTGGTCCAGCCCTTTAAAATGCACACAAAACCATTGAGGATTTTTGTGATCTTACATTAATATTTCAAATAGCTGGAATTTGTAACAATAATTACACAATTTGTACTTTTCCATTTCTTTTTCTTTTCAGAGTTATTTAATAATAGCAGGGAGTCCCTCCAAGTATAATATTTTCTTAATTGTAAGCTCACGAAGATTGATAGGGTGTAGTGAACAGAACAATAAAATTCAGCATGCATAATTTTTTAAAGAGGAAAACGTGCCAACAAGCACAAGAAAAGGCCACCTTAGTTCTAATAAGATTATTCAGCTTTGGTTTTTGTTTCTGTGCTGCAAACCAGTACTGTCCAATGTGTCCCTGTGGCCTCTCAGAATAGATGTTCAATGGATTTTATTGCTTTTTACACCACAAGATCGAAGTCTGTTCGATAATCTTTGAGAACAGAATTTTACCTATATGTCCACACAGATAAATTAATATGAGATTTCCTTTGACCATCTTCTCTCTTGAAGAGGCAAATGATGTTAACTAAAACCTGCCCTTAAATGGAAAATATTGGATAAATTATTTGTCTTCTCACTCTGTATGTCTTGTCGTGTAGACAACCCTTTTTACATAGTAGTGGTTCAACTCAATCTTTTAACCCATTAGTTGGGGAGAGATAGGAACTTTCTCTTCTGTGACTCTCATTTTAAATAGCAATTTTAAAAAATAACTGATGAGAATGAGCAACGGATGCTGGAAAGTTCCAGGAGACTTCTATCATGAAAAGCCTGTATGTGTCTGCTAAATGATCCTGAATTGTTTTCTAAATGATCTCTGAAAGATCAATTAAACTTTAGTGATTCTATCACTAACTGTTCCCCTGAAGAAGAGAATCAGCATTCTGCATCTGATGACTTCTGCAACCATTAGAAACAGTTCTCGATCACCTGAGGTTGGGAGTTTGAGATCAGCCTGACCAACATGGAGAAACCCCATCTCTAGTAAAAATATAAAATTAGCTGGGCATGGTGGCGCATGCCTGTAATCCCAGCTACTCAGGAGGCTGAGGCAGGAGAATCACTTGAACCCAGGAGGCGGAGGTTGCAATGAGCTGATGAGATCACACAATTATACTCCAGCCTGAGTAACAACAGCAAAACTTCATCTCAAAAAAAAAAAAAAGAAAAAAAAAAAGTTTTTCATAAAGAGAAACAGCTGTGGTCCCTGACATCAGGAAAAAAATGTAGTGATGCCCTTTTTAACAATCATCTAAATAAGGATAGAAGATGCTGAATCCTGCACTCATTTTGAGGACACATAAATTTCTCCATTGATAAGCTGTCTAGAGACACTGAGAATCCAGAGAAACTCAGTATAAAATTCAGAGGAATAACTGACATTACTGAGCTCCAGGAACTATGCATTAGTAATCCTGGTACATTATTGTAAATCTCATAGATTTCTTTTTTTTTTTTTTTTTTTTTTTTTGAGACGGAGTCTCGCTCAGTCGCCCAGGCTGGAGTGCAGTGGCGCGATCTCAGCTCACTGCAAGCTCCGCCTCCCGGGTTCACACCATTCTCCTGCCTCAGCCTCCCGGGTAGCCGGGACTACAGGCGCCCGCCACCTCGCCCGGCTAATTTTTTGCATTTTTAGTAGAGACGGGGTTTCACCATGTTAGCCAGGATGGTCTCGATCTGCTGACCTCGTGATCCGCCCGCCTCGGCCTCCCAAAGTGCTGGGATTACAGGCGTGAGCCACCGCGCCCGGCTAATCTCATAGATTTCAATCAAGCAGGCACTGAAAAGGATTAAGTAGAATACATGCACCCCACTTTTACTTCATGATTATAAATAAACTTTATAAATCATATTTAACACAAAAATACACCCTGAAAAATGTATTATCACAGTTATGAATTGGAAATAGCATGTACATGATGGACCTTAAAACCTACTCTGTCTTAAGAAGTGTTTGTGACCAGGATAAAGTTATGAGGAAGAGGCACACATGCTACAAACATTAAAAATATCATGAGTAAACAATGAATTTGCCAACTTACATGAAATGGACACAGCCCTTGAAAGACAAAGATGACCAAAACTGACACTGTACTTACAAACCTTGCTACAAAAAAATCTCCAGGCCCAGATAGGTCCATTAATGAATTCAATCAAACAGTAAAGGATAAGTAATGCCTATCTTGTTCAGACTTTTAATGAAATGTACAGAAAATATAATATTTTTCAACAAATTTCATGAGGCCACATTTATCTTAACAATCAAAGATATGATAACAAAAGACAGTTAACAACTAAATATCCTTCATGAACAGAGATAGAAAGCACTTTAAAAATATGTTATCAAATCAAAGCCTGCAATATATAAATAGGATAATACCTTTTGCTCAATCAGATTTATTCTAGCAATGCAGTGTTGGCTTACCACTCAAAAAATCAAGTCTTCTGTCACCACTTGTACTCAACATTGTACTGGACTTTGAGCCAATACAAGAAGAAAAGAAAAATAAATAAATAAATAAATAAAATGCATACAGGTTGGTTCTATTGAGAAGAAATTATTGCTTACAAAGATCATCCTAAAGAATCTACAAAAAACCCACTAGAACTTATAAAAGAATTTAGCAAAAGGAGCAGGACACTAAATCAATAAACAAAAAAATAAATTATACTTCTATATACTAGCAATAAATGGAAAATAAAATTTTAAAGGTTTCAATATCAAAAGAATGTGTTTTAGGCACACATTTCATAAAATATATATAAGCATATATATTTATTACATATATACTTATATATTAAATATGTAAGTATATATTTTATTAAATATATACTTACAGATATTTAATAAAATACTTTATTTTATTAAATATATATGTGTATATATTTAATATATTTAATAAAATATATATATACTGAAAATGATGAAACATTGCAGAGATATAATAAAGAACTCCTAAATAAATAGATTCATTGTGTTCATGCATTAAAAGGCTTAGTATTGTTAATATGGCAATTCGCCCCAAATTGATCTATAGATTTAATGCAATTAATCACATTCAATACCACAACAGTCTTTTTTGTAGAAATGAAAGTACTGATTTTAATTTTTTATAAAAGTACAAAAGGCCTGGAATAGCCAAAACGATTTAAAAACAGAATTTATTCTTTTTTAAACTTTAGTTGTAGGACTTATAAAAACTCATTTCAAGATTTATAATAAGGGTACAATGAGTGTTTAAATGTATTTGTGATTGTGTGTATCCCAGAGGACTCGTCTGATGTATATATTTACTGGTCGGGAAAGGAAAGGTAAATATTCAAAGCAAAACGTATTCAATTCAAAGCAGGAAGAAAGTATATGAGCAATGAAACCACGAACAACATTGCTTAATGCTGCCAAAAGATCAAGAAATAAATTTTAAATATATATATTCTTTAGAAATCATTGGTGATTTTTGTGTAAGCTGTTTCACTGTAGTGATGAAAGTTGACACTACCTTGAAGTGGGCTGAGACATCAGTGGAGGTGGCCATGAGTGACAAAAAGATGACAAACGGAAATAAGACAAGAATTTTATCTGGGAGGAGGAGGAACAAAGAGTTAAGTTTGTGGCTGGATGAGTCTGAGAGTTTGGATGATGATTTTTCTTAATGCATAACAAATGCCTGCTCCATTTGCTAAGTGCTAAAAAACTTGTAGGACAGGTCTCCTTTGTCCTTACCCTATTCCGTAACCCATTACCCATTTCATCATAATGGAGTACAACAGATATTTGGTAGGCACTGGCTGTCTTATATGCAGCAATAATCTCCTTACATTTCCCTGTTCAGCAGGGACCGTGAACATTTTTCTTGCCCCTTACATTCCCCACCATATGAAGATGACTGTGTTCCAACTCCGAGGGAGTTTTCACATTAAATTCCATGACTTCCTGACACTTTTTGTTTACCTCGGTACTGCTCTGATAAAAATTAAGATTTACATGCTAAATTTTTATCATGAGGGCTATAATTTTATTTGTTGCTTTTCTTAACATCATTCTCACTATGAATAGCTCCGCTTTCAGAGTGTACAGATGGCCCTTATCAACTGCAATACCTGATCTTCTCACTATGCCTCCTGCCCCTTGGCCAACTCCAGATCTGTTGTCTCGCAACATTATTCTGTCACACAGCCTATAACTTCTTCTTTGCAAAAAAAAAAAAAAAAAGGTTTTCCCTCTGCTCTCTGGGAATTGATATATGGTTTCATGGAATACGTTCTCTCATTTTTTGCACGCCTATGGACCATTTTAAAGTCCATAGAAGTACAGAAAAAAACTTTAGTCCAAAAGTACAGAAAAAACAACCTGGGATAGATCCTATTATAGTCTCTCATTACATTAACAT